GAGGTGCAGCATCTATTTCAGCGCCTACCTATACCCAATATCCAATTTAACCTATATTTGCATCAATATTCAGTGGCTGTCCGGTAGCCTGCTATGGCTAGAGGCAGTCCCTGGACGCCTGCCAAATTCGTAAAGCTCTCCTTGTCAGCACATTCATTGCACCACTCAGCACTCACGTCGACAAATCTGCACTTTTCGGGGCTCCATTCTGCAAATTATCCTCACAGACCGCACTAAATCATCTTCTTCATCATCTCTAGAGAATTTCCGTTCCCCTTATCGATTCCACAGTGTAATGGATTGGGCCAGGCTGTGAGGCTATGCCATCTGGTCAATTCTTCTGTTCTGTCTGTCTGTCAGTCTAGCGCGGGCGCTTCTTTCGGGATGTGGTTACATCTGCCCGCGCCAGCCTCATCGTTCATTCATTCCTCACAGCTTAGCGCTACCGTTTTCTTTTTGAATTTTTGGAATATTTCCTTTATACGACCCTTTTTTGACTATAGTATTCTTTGGCAGAGTTCTCATGGAATCTGTGAGGCAGTAGGTTCTTCATATGTCAGCTTATATTTTGACATGTTCGCCACCTCCAGAGATTGCAAGGTTGGAAACCGAGCCAGGATTGCGAAGGAATATCGGCGCCGATGACCCCAGAGGGGGGGGGCAGTCAAAGGGTTCCTTGCGCAGCACTGAGAGTGGCGTCATCAGCATAGAAATACCGTGCCTGAAATTTAGGTGTCCTCACTCAACTTCTTCTCCCCCCCCCTTCAGGCTCAGGCAAAGTTCTCATGTCCACTACGGTATTTCCTGTTTTGTACGAGGAGACTTGGAGAGTCCTTTCCATGGCTAGTTGCGCCTACGAGATCGTCAAGATCAAGTAATCCATCACATGGTTTATGGGAGGACAAAGTACCTCGCCTCACCAAGTCCGCCTCATTAGTTGATCGGACTGATTCTTTTTTCTTCTCGTAATTCACATAAGAAGCAATAAAAAAGATTTCGGAGGACAATTCAAGAGTGCCTTGTATTCGCTATACTGCTCAGTATCGCTTTGACTAATGAATGCGGCTCGCTCAAGCTAAGTCCGGACGGGTGGATTACGTAGAGCAAAAAGAATGGACTGGCAGGCAGGTGAAGGTCTGTCTCACCTGCACAGCCGAAGTTAAGGCAAATTTAAAGGTGCTACTTCATCGACCACTCACCCCCCACCGCAGATGTCAACAATGGCGCCCTCGATGTTGGAGGATAGGCCACGGAATTTCGGAGCCAAAGACAACCCTTCTTGGGAATCCCGACGATGGATCTCGAGGTACGGGTTGGGGAATCCCCGACATACGACGTGCCCTCGATGGGGTATGTCGAACTCGTTCTAGCGAAAGTCTATTACGCGGATAGTAATGGAATCGGATTCCACGTAAGGCAGAGGTCGAATATTTATCATACCTCAGATGTCTACGGCCATGATGCAAATCTTCGAGAGGCAGGGAACTTTTTCTAGCAATGGGCGCGACTGTTTACTTGTTTATCTATTGTTTTAGTTATCTTATGCTCTAAGCAGCGCTAAACAAACAAGACAACAGAAGTGCTAAGTTGTTGCTGTTGTTGTGTTGTTGTTGTTGTTGTTGTTGTTGTTGTTGTTGTACATTTTAATAGAGTGGAATAAGTGTTCCTACACTTCCCCTGCCGTAGGGTCCCTGAGGCCTGTATGGATCGTTCCATGGTTTCCAGAATAGCTCAACAGTTGTTCTTGGCAATCATTTTTCTTTTTTTTTACTTTCTACGATCTATTCATTCATTGCAACATTTGTAACCACTATCTTGTTCTCTCTCCTCCCTTCGACGAAGCATCTCTTGTAGAATCATTCGGACTTCTCTTCTACTGTAAGTGCGCCGCGCACACGGTTCTAGTCCCCCATGGGCAGAAAACATCTGCAAGTAATAGTGGTATATGGTTTACGGGAGCTGGAGCTGGCGTAGCAGCACCTGGTCCTCTTAGCGTATACGCGATCCCATCATTCGCCTCGTACTCGGCTCGCGCCAGGCCAACACGATGCTTCTACCACCCAAATCAGCTCCTGACGTTTCTCGGCATATGTTTGGTTTTAGTTCCTCAAACTTTTTTTCCGACTCTTTACGAGAGCTACACGCGGAGCCTCGCCTTCGGAATTGCTAAAAACTTGCCGCATTCTTTTATGGTCTTATTTTTCCATGATGTTTCGTTTTAGCCCCTTTCTCCTCCGCCTCCTACTTCCTTGTTATTCTATGACTCGTCCTCCTCGTCCGCAGTTCTACCTGTAATCTACTCATGATACCACGAATACAGGGAACATTTGAAAAGCCCCGTCCAGTGATTTTTTTCCACTTTCCTCGAGAAGCTTTATCAATTCTCCTTTGCATTGCATTTCCCTCCTACGCAAAAATGTCCAATTTTTTGGGGCGATAATCCAATAAGCATTAGAATTAGCAACTGGGCGTCCTATTGTTGTTTCACGGCTCGATTTCAATTCTCAGTGAGCTAAGTGGCTAGTAGCCCTTTCCCTTTTCTGAGGCGGATTGAATACGAGTTTTCTGCGTCTTGGCAAGTCACGTTGCATTCCGGTTACATGCCCGTTGAAACTATTCTGATTGAGCTGCTGAAATCTGGAAGGGAAAGCGAACTTCATATTAGCGGAGTGAAGAAGCATAGGGCACAAGCAGAGTAAATATATTTGCAATAATTCATTTTATATTTGCAATTATATACCTTATATAGTAGATATAATCTACACGTTACAACCAGGGCACATCATTAGTTGGGATTTTTGTCGAGTCCGTACGACCCTTCCCCAAAGGGTGGCTTGATACGAGCCCCCCCTGGTTGCCCTCCTCATCGAGCTATCGAGTGGGGGGGAGAGGGAGGGGGGTATGTAGTACATATGAAAAACAGAAAAAAACTACGAAAGTCAACAAACTCTTCCCAGAAGGCAAACACGACCTCCTCCTAACAACGAGTAAATACGATCCTCCCTGTTGGGGAATCCCCAACGATGGCGTATCCTAGTTGCGACATTTGACAGTGGTAATGATACAATCTCTGGCACAATCCAGGGCACATCATTGGTTGGGGATTCTGGCCGATTCCATACGACCCCCCCCCCTTTTTTGGGGGG